TGATAAATAAATGATATAAAACATTTACCACCATCCTGAATGGTAATGCTTTTAACTGTTGTCGACCTGTCCAACAGATAACGTTTGCCTTTGGGGATTATGACGTCAGCGGCCGGGTTATTTCCGGGTCTCCATAGTTGTAGTTGTGACTCCTTATCTGGACAAGACGCCTGGGCTGTGAACACTAGAACGGGAATCATGAATGGTTGGAATCTTAAAAAGATGATGAGGGCAGACAGTACGGGTTATTTAGTTGGATTACGAGTGGCGCGAGTGTTTTCTTAACATATAAAGTTGAAAGAAAATTCAAAAAAAGTTTCGGATCGGCTTTGTTATCAATCTTTCAGCAGGGAGGGAATTTATCAATCCTCAAGAAGTTGTAGATAACTTCTCGTTCCGCAGCAGTCCATGCTACGGGGATAGGTCTGGTCTCCGGTGTCGATGGTTGATTGAATTTTGTTCAAGCGAGTTGAACTTCCACAAAAAGTATTAAGCAAAATTTGACCAAATTTGTCAGACATTAAGTAAGAATTTGGCAGTAGGTGACCTGCGCACGTGGACGAGTTTATTCCATATAATATCTCTAGAACGTGATATAGGGTCACTTTATTCAGTTTTAGGGGTGTTTTAGGGTGAAATGACAGTGTTTTTTCTCGGTATGTGTGACAACTATTACACTGTTACCCTCTCCGGATGTATGACATGAACATTTATCTCACACGTTAACAACCGAGTGCTCAGTACTTGGAACATAGGTGGCTGGACTACAGTTTTATGTCACCCTCAGCACAGGAATATCAAACACTGTTTTATACTTGCGATGTTACTACTGTCATGTTAATACTATGTTATTTTATTTCATTTTATTATGTTAAAATTTAATTAATTTTCTTTTTTTTTTTGGTGAAATGCGTGGGAGACAACATTCATTTCAATTAAAGTATATAGATAGATTTTTGTGACGTTTTGCCATTAACTATTTTTTCTAATTTTGTAATTGCGGCACTATCTTTAGGACCAACGTATTTAAAGTTCATAACCTGCCATCGCAATTGAAGCCATTTTATTTTATACAATAATAAATACCATACCGCCAAACAAGTTTCTTAAATGACCTACTTACGTAACCAAGCAATGAAACAAAGGACTCCACAAAGCTTTGCCATTTTAGCGGAGCTACTCCGTGGTCTCTGTCTCTTTCCCTCCTCGCTCTCCAAATGCTGCGTGATGGAAGTGTCTCGGTCACAGATGCTGAATTCTCAGGCTTACGAGTACATAATGTATAATCTGTGATTACATGCGGTAGGTGAGTTCATGTGCCAAATAAGTTGCCTAAATCGCACCTGAGAAGAATATAATCTATAAATGGATGCCGGCCTTCCCGAAGCCACAGCGACTTCATTGCCCAGTGTGTAGTGAAGTAATAGATAGACCCTAAGTCAGTGAGAGTTATATGCACGAGAGGTTGTCACATAGCCCTCGCTGACGAGTAGTCTTACTTAGGCCACTTTAAACTACAGTTCACGACTCCACACTCACACAACTACAGTACCTAGCTACTAGTATCTTCATTACCGCACTAATTCATATGTTTGGACGGTAGAGGACAGGTCTAACCAACTACCAGACTCGGCACCTAAGGATCCTGAATTAACCGGTATATCGGACCACACTACCCGTTTTCAAGGTGTGTGTCAGATCGCATTTCGGAGTATCAGTCAGAACACCGACAGGATGAGCCTACGCTCGGCTGTCACCTTGATTGGATAGTAAACGATTGTGGTATTTAATTGCTATATGATTTTAAAACCGGGTGCATAAATTTGAAAGCCACCTAGATGAAACTTAGACTGCCACATTAATCTAATACAATGCAAAAAAGCCCTATCAAAAGTGTTTAAACCATTCAAACCGAATGTCGTAAAGTCCCCATATACCCCCATAGAGACAATGAAATAGAGCACTCCAAAGTAAGAGTACAGTTTAAGGTTGTTCAGCCGAGCGTGGATGAGCCCTGCAGTCGTCCTACAAAATCTGTTCTGGGGTATGATACTCCGAAATGCGATCTGACACACACCTTGAAAACGGGTAGTGTGGTCCTTAGGTGCCGAGTCTGGTAGTTGGTTAGGCCTGGAGGATGTCATCCTCTCTCAGCTAGGTTTAAAGGCATACACGTACAGTGTTGAAAAATGGGTTTAAACCATCATTTTTGATCAATTAAAAAAGTGATTTCATTTTATTAGTTGTAAACAAATTTTATACGAGTGTGTATCTACTTTATGATACGCCTGCATGTTGGCTCTGCATTGAAATAGGCTGTAGAGTGACGCAAGCAGCGTCGAAGCGCGTGAAGCCATTCAGATAATTCATTTTCGGACGCGGTTACTTCAACTCCAGGTCTACAACAAGTTTTTTTCACACAAAAGAAGAGAAAAACCCTTAACATGGGTATTATTTAAAAATCAACAAAAGCAAACGCCGCTATTCTATGTTTATAGTTAGGTTAGGCAGCAGCACAGCTGACATACCCAGCAGATAAACAACATTGATTCACCGTTAAATCAACGTTAATTTTGGTGGATCAACGTTGAAACAACGTAGAATCAATGTCGTTTCCCTGACGGGATAGGTTTTCACATTTGCAGTATTCGGGCTCGACTATTACAGATTCTAGCATGTTTCGACACTTCGCTTGGACTTCCTTAACTTCAAAGCATTGATCCAAATTTGACATTTTGCTGTCTACGAAGAAAAATAGCTGACGTCTTTTTTATTGATTCCTTGATTACGGCACTGGAGTGCAACACAAGTTTGCGGTATGTTTTTTATGACACCGTTTTTTGGTCAGCTGTCAATGTGTTATCATTACAACACTCATACACAGCAGTCCATAGATCTTACGCACATGATGTAACTAGAAATTGACCAATCAGTGTAGAACAGTTTCATTAGCTATGTTATTGTAATAGACTTTTGAAGATTTTTTGTCTTACCAGCAAAAATCTTGGAAAGAGAGCCACGGGACTTACACTGGAAAGTTCTTGAAGCGATCAACATCCGCGTACATGGGGCCAAGTTGAATCGGAATGATGGGACTGAGCTACCCAACCTCTACCTACCACTCCTAAGGGATGGGCAGGCCAGGGCAGGTCTGACCAAATAGCACACCAAAGGGGGTGATAGGTTGTCACACCTAGCCACCACAACCTCATTCTCTGATGAAGTCTAACTGCAAGCAGACGAAATATTGGATGATAAGACCAGGCAAATATAAGTAGCTATAGACAAAAGAATCTTCACAAGTCTTGACCAATCAGAATTTTATCATTCTAGTTCCCCCTTTTCTCACTATAAATTTTTTTAAAAATTCTTATTGAATCATAGTAAATATATTGTTAATTAATCAGTTAACAAAGGGGGAGTAAAGGGGGTTTAAATATAACAAAGACGACATCCGAGGAAGCCCCTGTGCAGTATATTGTCTATTTCTGCAATGACTTGGGAACCTTCATTGTTTCAGAGGGTATCAGGACAATTCCCCCCCCCCCGGACAATTCCCCCCCGGACTATTCCCCCCGGACAATTCCCCCTGGACAATTCCCCCCGGACAATTCCCCCCCGAAGAATATATATATATATATTTATATACAAATATTAAGTAAAGAATACAAAGTTCAAAGTTCTTTTCATCCATTTTCTGAATATTTCTTAGTGTGATGATGCAAATCAAGGATAGATAATATTAATTTTATTAAACAATTTATTTTCTTGGAGTCCAAGTACATGAAATTTTCGAGATAGAAGTACAGAACTTTTTATTAAAAATCTGATCAAAGAATATATATCTCCAGGTAAAGGAGGGGTAAACAGATGATCTCACTCATCCAGGTAGCCCTTTGATGAATTAAATGTTACTTTTAATTGCTTTATTTCTCCCCCCCCTTGATTCAGTAAATCTTGAATCAAGGTGCATCTCTAGGGAGAGGTGGGGTAAACAGATTTTCTCGCTTATCCAGGTATCCCTGTGACTATTTGTCACTTTTAATTGCTTGACCACCACCCATCACCCACCACACTAAAATATTTATAAAATATCTGTTTACCTGTTCATCTGTTTACCCCACTTTTACCTGAAGGATAAGTGGTTATACTTCGATTAGATACTTAATGAATCTTCCTGTACTTGTACTCAATAAAAAGGGAATTTGTTATAAAATAATTTGTTTCATGATGAAGTTATATTATCACACTAAAAATGTTAATAAAATAGATGAAATGTTTTAAACTTTACACTTTCTACTTTATATTTGTATATAAATATATATTTCTTGGGGGGGAATTGTCCGGGGGGGAATTGTCCTAGAATCGTTTCAGAGAACAACATTGCATATGAGCCACTGATAAAGTGAACATATTTTCCGTTACATAATCAGTATGCGGGTACAAATTATGGTGGAGGGAAAGTATATTTTTGTGTTCCCTTAATTACCATCAGGCGTTATATTATATAATTTTCCATCCTCAGCCTGTGGAAGCTGAGTATACACATATGCTTGGAATTCTTTCAATTTGAAACGCATGACAGAAATCTCTTCATTCTGCACAGGCATCGCTTGAGGAAGTTGTGCATTGTTCACAAGATGGCTGTAGTACCTTATGTTCTTCTGCTTCTCTGTGGCATAGGATTTGTCTTTGAAGGTAACGTAACAGTGCAACAATCTGTAACATTTTTTATTAGGATGTTCAGACATGTATTTTGCGACCCCCCCCCCCCCACACACATGGTGACCAAATAAGAGTTCACATGCAGTCACCCTGAAGGGGGGCTAGGGCGATGCATGGTCTCACCTAGTAGGCTATAGGGTGCCTAGGTCTCACTTAGGGTACAGAATCTACATCAGTATCTGGACTGTATTTCACTTTGGTGCGAAAATACCAATGGTAGTCATCGTTGAAAACCCGAACCACGTTCAATTCAGGAATATTCTGGAACCACTTGTCTACCATTTGTTAGAACAAATTAATGTCAATTCTGTATATACAATTGCCGGTATGAAGGGAATGTATGTCCGCCGTAATGCATGTCCGTATAATATGTGTTCCTAGAAATTAGTGTCATGTGGACATTAAGTCCTGGGAATGCATGTCCTGGGTTTCCCATTACTAGGAGCACATGTCCTAGGACATTGAAAAATTTCAAAAACATACAGGTTGAAAAAGAAATAATTCAAACTTTCTCTCTCCTCTCTCTCTTTCTTTCTCTCTAACACACACACACACACACACACACAACAATAGAACAGTGTTAACGTTAAAGAAAAAAAAAACTTCTTAAATGTGTAATCACCATTACACCTTACGTTTGTATATGGTAGTAATATAATAGTGCTGGTAATTGTGCATGATAAATCTGAGCGCCACATGCAGTATGTCGCTCCTTTATTATGTTCTCCCCGGATGATGATAATAATTCGGAGTAGAACAGAAACGTGAAGATCAGGAACAAATTGGGGAAAAGATATCATTATGTTGTAAATATAATACTAGTATTATAACAAAATGATTACATTGTACAATTAAACTTTAGTGAGTTGTAATGAATGTACATAATCGTTATTATTATGTATCGTGTGGCAACTACTGGACTCGATCGGTTGTTATAGAAATAAACCGACATTTTTTATACAGAATTTTGCTACATGTATAAGTACAGTTAACTAGAATGCAGCACTGTTTGCGTTAGTGCACACACACGCATTCTGATCAATGTTTTTTTTATCTATCTGGTAAAAGCAGCTGTTAACATTACATTTTATGAACAAAATAACGCAAGACACGCATTTAAAAAAGATAAATGAACGAAGGAAAATATAACTCCAAAAATAGCATTAAAACTTTGACCCTCTTGTGTGTGTGTGTGTGCGTGTGTTTTTTCTTCATTTCAGAGCCCTTGGTTGAGCGATCTCTCACAGGGAAAGGAGTATGTGGTGTTTCATTCCCGTACCATTTTAATGGCAGTTGCTATGACATTGGCACGTTAGCTAAGACTTGGTCTGAGGCGAGAACTGAATGTGTAATCAGGAGAGCGAATCTCGTTGCATTAGAATCAAATCAGGAGGACGACTACTTGTCCATGCAACTCAGAAGATTCTATCCACCCTATGAAGTAAGGATCCTAACGTTTTATCACCAATTTAACAGTTTTGAGATGTTTGCAACTGAAGTTTATACTGCTTTAAATTTTGCACATATTAATGATATGATGCTTACTGAAAAATATAAGGCATCCATGTTGTTAAACTTTTGAAGTCCATCGGAGAACTGGTAGAGGTTTAGACATGTCTCTGTTTCNCGTTTTATCACCAATTTAACAGTTTTGAGATGTTTGCAACTGAAGTTTATACTGCTTTAAATTTTGCACATATTAATGATATGATGCTTACTGAAAAATATAAGGCATCCATGTTGTTAAACTTTTGAAGTCCATCGGAGAACTGGTAGAGGTTTAGACATGTCTCTGTTTCAATCATTTCTTTATTTATTTTAATAAAATGTGTATAAATGCTCTGTAGAGTTGAGCTCTCTGAAAACCGTATACAGGTATACCATGTGTGTGTGTGCGTGTGTGTGTGCGTGTGTGTTATGTGCATATACATGTATTTGTTATATAAAAGTCCAAATGGCCAAATCAATAATCGTTTTCGAAATAAGGTCAGTTTTCTCTCTCCCCCCTTACTCAATTCTTAATTTCCAAGTCAGACTGAATTGGAAATTGGCACGTCAGCATACAAGTTTCTTCATTTCATTCATAGGTTGATGCTGTAATAAGAATATAATAAAATGACCAAGTTAAGATAGCAGATCATGGTTTATGAAAAAAAATCCAAAATGGCACCTACAGGTAGATGAACAACTACCCTGTTTTTTTAACTGTGTGGGTGAATGGAAGCAAAGACACAATATGTAGAATAATGTACACATTTGTCGGACATAACTGGACATTTAGTTGTGAAACCACTTGGCAGTAAGATTCGCATTAATAGTGAAAAGAAAAGGAATAATAAAAGACACATTATGATGAATTTGAAATTTCCATTTTCATTACGTAAAAATGTAGAGGAGTTTTTTATGCAATTTTGGAAATTTCCAAGAGACATACCTTCTGGTTTTAATTGGTCAATATTTATTTACTCAGTTATCATGACCTCTGAAGTGACGAAATATGCCTGTTGACTTGCAATCTTACAATTCAATAGGGAGGTGAGAAAATTGTGAAGGTTAAAAGCCTCAGTCACAACCGGCTGTACGGGCTCTTAGGGACTGCTTGCATCCAAATTTTGTGCAGAATCTCAGGTGTCATGCAAGTCCTTCTTACTAAATTTGGAGTTTGCAGACAGCCCGTAAGAACGTAAGGAGGATGTTGGACATGTCCAAAAGATTCGATGAATAATATGCGAACAGTGAGGCCGCAGCCGTTACTTGCTTCCCTCGCAAGGAGTTCGATACGCATTAAGACGTGCGTGGTCCAAGATGCAAGCAATGAAGGAGCAGGTGCCCTTTGCGAGTTGAGTGCGGCCCACGCCATCACAGCTGACGAACCGAGTCAAAAGCACGGCGGGGGTGCGTCGCACGTGCTCCCCCCTCCCAAGCCTGGAGCAAAAAAGGCGTGCTCACGACGCGCGCTCGTGTTGACAATAAACGTCGATTGTGCAACGTATACAACAATTTTTGAAAAATTCGAATTCTGCTAATTCAGCTTCTAATATTCCTCCAAAAGGCAAGGAAAAGAAAAGCTTAGACAACAGAAAAGAAGGGAGGAGGAAAAAGAAAGAAGGGGAGAACAGGAGGCAAAATTTACGTACGCCGTCACTACGTCATCACAATTGTGTGAGGCAAGTGTGAGGCAAAAGTTGACCAAAAGGGAACTATTTTTGCCATGCGTTGCATTCTTTTTTAAGTGGTGAGTTCGTGTCACGTACGCAGGTAATAAGACAAACTCAAGAAATGAGTACAATTTCCACGGTCATCACACCTTGCAATAAGCGTCCCTGTTTGAATGGAAATCTCACGTGGCCGCTTCGACTCGTAAGGCAGACTTGCGCCTTTCCATTGCAACCTTTCCTCTACCTCTACA